CTTTTTCTTAGGAGGTGTTTGAAAATTCTCTTTGCTTGCTTCCCTGTTGCAAGCCTTTCACTGACATCTTATGGGAGGAAAATACTTACCTCGAGTGAGTGGAGAGTTCAAATGTGGAACTGCTGCTTGTCTGTTGTAGGCAGTACTCAAGCAGTCAGATGTCTAGAATGCGAGGGCTGTGAGAGTGCTTTGTCTTCCCTGCTCCAGCTCTCGATTTAACAGCTTGTTCTCTGTTTTTTTTTTTTTCCTATGCATGGCATTTCTGCAGAGGTGGTTTAGTTACGATACTCTGAAAAGCTGTAGTTCTCTGAAATGTTTGAGCAACAGTTGCAGTTGAACCTTATCTATAGTGTGTGTAAGGAAGCAAGAAAACTGCAGAACAGAGCAGATCAGGTGTTTAATGGTGATGCTTTTGTTCTTGAGAATAAAACCTCTTATGGGCTACTGATTTGGTAAATAAATGTTAATCATAGAATAGTTTGGGTTGGAAAGGACCTTTAAAGTTCATCTAGTCCAGCTTCCCTGCAATAATTAGGGACATCTTCGACTAGATCAGCTTGTGCAGAGCCCTGTCCAACTTGACCTTGAATGTTTACAGGGATGGGGCATCTGCCACCTCTCTGGGCTATGTGTTCCAGTGTTTCACCATCCTCATTGTAAAAAATTTCTTCCTTGTATCTAGTCTAAACCTATTCTCTTTTAGTTTAAAACCATTAGCCCTTGTCCTATTGCAACAAGCCCTACTAAAAAGTTTGTCCCCATCTTTCTTATGTGCCCTTTTAAATACTGAAAGGCTGCAATAAGGTCTCCCCAGAGCCTTTTCTTCTCCAGGCTGAACAATCCCAACTCTCTTAGCCTTTTCTCATAGGAGAGGTGTTCCATCCCTCTGATCATTTTTTTGGTCCTCCTCTGAACCTGCTGTAGCAGAATCATTTCTTTCCTGTGCTGAGGACTCCTTAACTGGATGCAGTACTGCAGGTGGAGTCTCACCAGAGCAGAGTAGAGGGGCAGAATCACCTCCCTTGACCTGCTGGTCACACTTCTTTTGATGCAGCCCAGGATACGGTTGGCTTTCTGGGCTGTGAGGACACATTGCCAGCACATATCCAGCTTTTCATTCATCGCTATCCTCAAGTCCTTCTCTACAGGGCTGCTATGAATCCCTTCATTCCCCAGCCTGTATTGATACGAGGATTGCCCTGACTCATGTGCAGGACCTTGCACTTGGCCTTGTTGAACCTCATGAGGTTCATACGGGCCCACTTCTCAAGCTTGTCCAGGTCCCTCTGAATGGCATCCCATCCTTCAGGGGTGTCAGCTGCACCACTCAGCTTGGTGTTGTCTGTAAACTTGCTGAAGGTGTACTCGATCTCACTATGTCATTGATGAAGATATTAAATAGCACTGATCCTGGTACGGATCCCTAAGGGATGTCACTTGTCACTGGTTTCCATCTGGACATTGAGCCATTGACCATTACTGTCTCGATGTGACCATTCAACCAATTCCTCATCCACCCAATAGTCCACCCATCAGATCCACATCTCTTCAATTTAGAGAGAAGGATGTTGCAGGGGACAGTGTCAAAGGCCTTACAGAAGTCCAGATAGACTACATTTGCAACTCTTCCCTTGCCAACTGAGGTAGTCACTCTGTTGTAGAAGGCTGCTAGGTTTGTCAGGCAGGATTTACCCTTGGTGAAGCCATCCTCCCTGTCCACCATGTGCCATAGCATAGCTTCTAGGAAGATGTGTTCCATGATCTTCCCAGGCTCAGAGGTGAGGCTGGCAGGTCGGTAGTTCCCAGGGTCCTCATTTCTATCCTTTTTAAAAATAAATGCTATGTTTCCCCTTTTCCAGTCACCATGGACTTCACCTGACTGCCCTGACTTTTCAAATACCATGGAGAGTGGCTTGGCAACTACATCAACTGATTCCCTCAGGACCCTGTGATGCATCTCTTCAGGTCCCATAGGCTTTCGTATATTCAGGTTTCTCAGGTGGTCACAAACCTGATCTTCTCTTAGAGTAGGAGGGACTTTGTGCCCTCAGTCCCTGCCTTATGGTCCATCTGCTTGAGGAGTGTGGAAAGAGAGGTTGCTATTGAAGACTGAGGCAAAAAAGTTATTGCATACCTCAGCCTTCTCCATGTCTGTTGTTACTAGTTTGCCAGTCTTGTTCCTCAGGGCAGGTGCACTTTCTTTGACTGTACTCTCCTGAATGGCATACCTGTAGAAGCCCTTCTTATTATTTGCATCTCTTGCCAAGTTCAGCTCCAGCTGTGCCTTGGCCTTCATGACGTCATCCCTACACAGCCAGGCAGTGTCTCTATACTCTTCCCAGGATACCTGACCCTGCTTCCACTGTCTATGCATTTCCTTCTTGCCCCTTAGTTTGACCAGCAGGTCTTGACTCTGCCATGCTGGTCTCTTGCCTTCCTTTCCTGATTTCTTGCATCTGGGAATCAAGAGCTCTTGTGCTCTTATGGAAAGTGTCCTTAAAGATCTGCCAGCTCTATTCTGCTCCCTTGTCTCTGAGGGCAGTTTCCCAGGGGGTCCTATTGACTAATTCCTTGAACAGCTGGAAGTTTGCATCCCTAAAATTCAGCATCTTGACTTTACCCTTTGCCTGACCCGTATCCCTCAGGACTGTGAACTCAATCAATGTGTGATCACTACAGCCCAGGCTGCCTCCAATCTTGACATCATTCACTTGTGTTGGTGACCATCAGGTCCAGTATCATATCCCCTCTGGTGGGGCTGTCTATTACTGGGCTTAAGCAGTTATCCTCAATGCACTCCAAGAGTCTCCTGGATTGCCTACAGCTCACCATGCTACTTTTCCAGCAGGTGTTGGAGTGGTTGAAGTCCCCCAGCAGGATGTGAGCCTGTGAGCATGATGGCTCCTGTAGCTGAAGTAAGAAAGCTTTGTCAATAGGCTCCCCTTGATCGGGTGGCCTGTAGTAGACACCAACCACAAGGTTCCCTTTATTGCCTCGATCTTTAATTCTTACCCTTAAGCTTTCAACCTGCTCATGGCTATTCTTCAGAGACAGTTCTTCACACTCTATCCATTTCTTGATGTAGAGGGCAATGCCTCCACCCCTCCTTCCTTGCCTCTCCCTTCTGAACAGCCTGTAGCCGTCGATAGCTGCACTCCAGTCATGGGTTTCATCCCACCAAGTTTCAGTAATGGCAACTAGGTTGTAGCTTTCTAGCTTCTAGCTGGTGGCTTCCAGCTCCTCCTGTTTGTTGCCCATCCTGCGTGCATTGGTGTAGAGGCACTTCAGCTGCACTGATGGCTGTGTCACCTTCTTAGAAGAACATCCATTAATTCTTTTGAGGTATTTGGCTGGTGTTTCCCTGTTGGCTGCTATTTACCTCAGGAGCCCCGACTCACCTCTGTAAGACTTCAACTGTACTCCAGTGTAGCCAGCACCTTTCAGAGCAACAGGCTGAGGGCCCTTACTAGCACCTCGTCCCTCTAATGTCGACATGTCATCCCACAGTTTGTCATGGGCAAGCCTAACATTATCCTGCTTCCACTTCAAGACTAATTTAAAGCTCTGTCAATGAGCCTCACTAGCTCATAAGCAAAGACCTTCTTCCCCCTTTGATAAAGGTGAATCCCATCTGGTGCCAGCAAACCTGGTTTCACGTAGGCCATCCTGTTGTTGAAAAACCCAAAATTGTGTTGATGACATCAGCCACAGAGACATGTATTAATAGATTGGATATATCTGTTTCTTCCAATGTCGCTGTCCGCAGCTGGAAGGAGAGAGCAAAAAACAACCTGTGTTCCAGTTTCCCTTACCAACAGTCCCAAGGCCATGAAGTCTTTTTTGATCGCCTTTGTGCTCCTACACATTGCAGCTTCATCGCCACCCATGTGGAAGAGCAGTAATGGGTAATAGTTCGAGGGCTGTACCAGGCTGGGAAGTTTCCTAGTGATGTGCTTAACCCAGTCCCCGGGGAGGCAGCAGACTACCCTAGGAGGAGGGTCTGTCTGGCATATTGGACCCTCTGTTCCCCTCAGAAGGGGGTCACCTATAACTGTAATCTGTCTTGTCTTCCTCATGGAGGCGATTGATATAGGCGGTAGACCTTTCTGACCTTGGTAACACATCTGTGTAGATGGACCGTCATCCACATGATCCGTTGACTGGCCTTCCACATTTACAACCTCATACCTATTGTACAGAGGCACTTGGGAGAGTGAGGTGGGCAAGGACAGGGTTCATCTGCTTCCCTGAGCATGGACTCACCTCCATTCACTCCTTTCCTTTAAGCTACTGCCTTCAGTAGATGATGGGAGGATACAGGGTCTCCTTGATATTTTTTTTTTTTTTTTTTTTTTGTCCTGGTGACTGTTTGTCTTGGGGAGGGCAGCATAGTTGCACCAGTCTCTCTGTCTCAGACTCTGTAATGTTCCTCAACCTTTCTACTTCCTCTTGTAGCTCTGCCAGCAGGCTGAGCAGATCATTCACTTGGTCACACCTCTCACAGCTGTAAAAGCTGGAAAAGACAAAGTACAACTGCCTATTGTATTTAGCAATCTGTAGACACTGAGGTTTTCCTGGTAGCCACTTCTCACATCTTGCCGAGTTGTTGGATATGCAATCCACAGGGTGTGTTTAGACTTTTGCATAAGTTCAAGCAGCTGTCTAAGGAAAATGGTTTTGAAGGAGTGAGAAAGTGGATGAATGTCAGCTTGCTGATGCAGATCTTTCTAGGCTAACTGTGTAACTGGTTTCCTTTTTGAGTGTCCCTCCCTGTTACAACATAAGGGTGCTTAAAGAAAATAGACTTATTAAGCAATAAATACTTAGAGGGAGTTTAGGGTCAGCAGAAGTTTGAGCTGACTTTGAATGTACCTCTGAATGGCATATGCTACAGGTTGCTATAGTCCTTTTCTCAACAGAGCAAAAGACATCTGGAAAAGAATCCTTTATTCATAAAATCTTCCACCGCCTAATTCTTCTCATCCTTTCTCTTCCGTGCAGACGCTGTGCTACAGAAGATGCACTATTACCGATATTCTAATGCAGAAGTCAGCTGTTGGTACAAATACCTGCTTTTCAGCTACAACATTGTCTTCTGGGTGAGTACAAAATGTAGAGACTGAAATAGTTTAGGCATACCTCAGTTTCATTACCTTCATATGTATTTCTTCAAGAGAACAGACTGAAATATTTACCTGGAAGCAGGATGCTGATGTGTGATGTTTCCCAGATGTTTTGGAATTGAAGAAGCCTATTGCATATGAGAAAGTAATTGTGATTTAAAATTATATGGATAGTGGTTGCTTACAAGCTATCACTTTTGTCTGCCTTCCTCCTATCTTACCTTCTGAGTGAAGATAAAGGAGTGAAGCAGAAAAAACTATTTTTCTTGTTTTTTTTTTTTTTTTAGTGGAGAAAAGAAAGATCTGTTTAAAGGATTTGTCAAAGGAAAATAGTATACTCTGTACTCTTGGTGACAAAGCCTCTGTCTTTTGAATGATGGAGGCCATTAAATGCTGGTTGTTTGGGCAAAGGTTAAAGCTAGCTTACTTTAGTGCACTTAAGCAGTATGTTAAGTTGCTCCTTGTGCAACTACTAGAAGAGACTTCTTCTAATAGTTCCTCTCACGTTGTCTTTGATCTCTGTGTTGTGGTGGTGTAGCTGTAAATCACTATGCAGAAGAGAAGAAAGGAACTGCTCCAGACGTGTCAACAGCTGGCATTATAACATAGTCAAGATCTTAAATGTCATGCTCTGTGGGCAGTGAAATTGTCTGATACTGTCTTGAAACACTTAGCTAGGGACTAGCCTGCCTATGATGTTTGTTTAGAACTGTGAATGTGAGAAGGATGCAAAACCAGGTGTGTGGTTTTAGATGTGTGTGATGGTCAAGATCACTGAAGCACTGAACTACCTTGGAAAATAAGATGATTCAAAGGTTAGTGCATAGTATTGCATTAGAAATAGTTAATATATCTGTGAGAGGAGGTGAAGGTAAGGATGCAGTTCAGATTAACAGTAATTCTTTTCAGAACTTGCAGGTCGAAGGTTAGGAGTTCACACCAGAAGTCATGGAAACTGCAGTCATGGAAAGGCGTGGGTAGTCCTGGAGAAGTGTAGATACAGGGACTTGCCTGGTGCTAGCAGCTTGGATTAGTGTTCTGATTCAGTGTTGAAATGTTTCTTAGTATGGATAGCTGCTTCTCAAGATGATTTGATTTTTTTCAAAGCCAAAAGGATCAGATAGTAAGAATGAAAGTATGGTATGTGATTGAAGCAGCTTGTTTAGGTTAAGAGTAAAAAAATTATTCTTCTGGTCCTGACTTGTTTGTGATCAGTAGACATGCTAGATGAGACTGTATTGGTTCTATTTGTTTATTGTGATTCCTTAAGCAATGCTAGCTTTTTACTACCTAAAATTTAAAATATGCAGAATTACCCAAATCTGTATTTGACTTCAGTAGATAAAGGGGTTTAATGTCTGAATATAAATTGCAGGCTGCAGAATCTTGTTCATACTTGTCAATAATGACTTGGTATTTTGCTTGATTAACCCACATAAACTTCTGCTAAACTAGGTTGGTGTTTCTGCACATTTTGGCTGATTTGGCAGTGTTAAAGATAGAAAATAAGCTGGTTTTGAAAGCTGTATGTAAGGTGGACAAAACTCTGAATTAAAATCATAGAAAAGTCTAGGTTAGAACTTCTGGAGGTCATCTGGCCCAATTTTCTGTTGAAAGGAAGACCTATAGGGTAGGAAATCACTGCTTAAAGAGAAGAGATGGGAGTCTTGTGGGCTTCTTACTTATCAATTTTCTGCTGCCTTCAGCCTAATAAAAATGTTAGAAAGTCAGCTAATACTGAGACTGTGATGTCTGGGTATTGCTGTTGAAAACCACAGAACTTTTTGCTACTGTCACCACCTCTTGTTTACTAGTGCACCGTTTTAACATGATACTGCAGCATTAAGCTACTGGGGAGTTTATCCTTGTGTAGATAACAGAGTAGAAAAGATGTGTGGCTTGTGTAGAAACTTTTTTCCAGTAAGGGTTAATTAGCCACAATATTGCCATAGTGCAAATGTTCTTTAGTGATGACTTTTTTCCCCCCATAGCACATCACGGCCTCATGCATCAAAAAGTATGTGCTCAAAGGCCACCAGCTCTATACTTATTTTTCTTCTACATAGTACAACTCCCATGTACCTGTAATGGTGTGGTGCAATGAGAAGTAATATTCATCAAGCTGTTCTGATTTCAGAGGAATCACTCTGTAACTAGGTGGATGCTCTTCAGCAGATAGTGTATGGGATATACGAGAAATTGACAGACTCTTTTGTTCATGAATATATTAGGCTTGTTCTAGACCTCTACTTGCTTTCTAGTCAAGTGTCTCATGAAGTGGTTAAAGTTTTGATAGTTAAACAACCTTTTAGAAACTGAATTTTTTTGTTAATACTGTCTTCTCAGCAAATATCTATCAATTTACCTTTGCTTTTTCACATAAATTAGTTTTCTCTTTCTATTTTTTTTTATTCCCTGCAGTTATTACATTTCACTTTTTTGACATTTTTTATTTTTTTCCGGTATTCTGTTGAAATTAATGATGAAGATCCAAGGATTTTTCTCTTCCTTAAAAGAATCATTTTTAAAGAAGAGATATAGAAAAATTGAGGAGAATTTTAAATACAGCTTGTGTGTTTCAGCTGATCTATTGGCTGGATGAATTTTTTTTTTTCTGAACAGGTACTAGGAGTCTTGGTAGCTTGCTCAACGAATGGTCTGAGGCTTCTGCTGAGAATTTATCAGGCTGCCCTAGTAAATTATGTGTAACTACAGCTCTCTTGATAAGAGTTTGGCACCTTTAGTTGTAAAACAAGCTATGTAAATGCTGAGTGGGAGTGTAGGCACTCCTATAGGCAATGCATGAATTGTTTAGCTGACACAGTGATTTGGGAGCCTATGGCGTCCAGTTGGATGGGATGACTAGCCTAACAATCTCTTTAGTTGGACAAATCCATTGTGTGTAGAACAAAGTAAACTTTCTATGTGCTTTAAAAGAACTGAAGGACTACAAAATTGGAAGGGAAATGTAACCATGACTCAAAAAAGCAGCATTTAAGGAGAGAATGTTAGTCTTGATTTGTGTTTTTTGGCTTGCAGGACAGGTGCTTGTGGGAGCTTGTTTTGTGAGTGTGTGTGTCAGTGAGGATGGCCACTATGTTCAGTTCTGCTGACCTTGAATTAGTTGTGTACAACTGGCTTGCAAAATTGCTTGTTTGTTCTTTGGCTCTTTGGCTTTCTCTTGTAAGAAAAGGAATGGAGGTCATAGGAAGGCTCTATCTTCCTAGACGTGAGTTTATTGTAGGATTACTTTATTTTCATCTTGCTTTTTAACTTCTTCAAGTGCACTTGTGTTAGTGAGTAGTGATGAGACAGTATTGCAACCAGTAAAATAGCCCTGCAGGGAGTGCTCAGAAGTTGAAGGGAAATTACACTATTACAGCAAGGCTGGACCTCCTTTTGGGTTTTAAAGCTTTTTTTTTTTTTTCCAAATAGCTTCATTTGTCAAAGTGAAATTAAAAGTAAAAGACTGCAGTAATGCAAGGTGAAGAGCACGTTGGTTCTGGCACGTTTCTGTTCTGAGTCATTTTGCAATTGATTGAGTACTTCTGTGAAAGCCCCAGTGGAGGCAGGAGGCAGAGGGTGGACAACTGACCCCAGGGAGAGTGCCCTGTCTTGGGGTGCAGTGCTGCTCTGTGCCTTCCAGCCTGCACTTGGGAAAGCCCAGGGAATAAAAGGAGGTGCCTCAATCATCTCTCTCTGGTGCTTCTTTGTCTCCAGCTGAAGGATTTTTTGGGATGGTCCAAGAATTGCACCTCAGCCAGGACGTGGCTATTTCAATGAAGTGAAGGATTGCATGTGTGCTCTGTCAAAATCTTTTAGGTTGCATGTGAGCTTACTGTCTCTCAGATGAATTGAGAGGAGACGGTAAAATAGCTTTTAGCTCCTGTCATCTTGATTTATCTTCTAAGCTCTGTAGCTTTGTGTGTGGCTCTTAAGGGTTTTTGGAGAAAAAAAATAAAACTTTTCACTCATGCTATATGAGATGTGGCATTTTTTCCCTGAACATGATGAAGGGTGACAATTCTCTTAAACTCTGGAAGAGAATACTGATCTCATTTTTGAAAAGTAAACGAAGACCCAGGCTAGCCTAAAATTTTCTTGGCTTTTGTAGTGTATGTTGTTTTTCAGGAACATTTAAACAGCAAAGCTGTGCCAGGAAAAGGAAAGCATCCACCACCTGGTGGTTTTCTGACCCTGAGAGGAAAAGTCTGAGAAGAGACAAGGGTAGGAAGGAAGGGCTGCAGGCTGCTGATAACTCCAGCGTGGGTGGAGCTACAGTGTAAAATAGGATTGTTCAGGGGGTGGAAAAAGTGTTCTCTGTAAGAGTAACATTTTGTGCTTACAAAAAAATGAGTGTGATAGCAATGCATTCCCATTGCTTCTAATCAGACCTTGAGGCAGGCTAACACAAAATCGGTTTGTGTACAAGGGTTGTCTTGCAAGAGCTATGTTCAGCTGCTACCTAGTGTTGAGAAACAAATTAGACCTGTTTTCTCAGTTGATAGGGTGATTCTAATAGCATAGCCAAAGGAATTCAAAGTGTGGTTGGGAAGGGATAATGCTTAAGCTAAGTGGTCTTGTGCATGGTGTCTGTGAGTTGGCGTAAGTATTGTGCATCTCTTGAGCAGAACTTACAGCTCGATGCAATATGTTAATACTGTGGATTTTTTAGTTCTAAAGCAGGAAATAACCAAATGCTGGTTATTAGTTTTAGTTTCCAGTTCAAAAGTGTACAGTTGAGCTGCTTTTTGTATGTTTCCATCTGACTTTTCATGCAGTATATGCCTTAAATGACTCTACAGCATAGAAGTGAGTTGGGTAGTCCAGTTCTTGCTTACCCATCATCCAGATTCCGGTGAAAGACAAATCTCAAAATTCCTCTCTTTTGGAACAGCTAGCTTGCTCACTCTCACCGTAGGAACACTTTTGGTTAGTTTAGTGCTGCTGCTTCTCAGCTGCTTGTTCTCCCATTCATGTGGCCAGCCAGTTCAGTAAGCTGATGAGGGTTTAAAACTTTTCTTCCAATTCAGGCTGAATCAGTTTCTTGGTCTGCCTCATAGCAGCCGCTTGAATGCTTCTGTGCAAGAGTGGTAACGAGGGTATTTTCCTGGTGCTCGTTCTCTGTAGAACTCTATATTGGTTATGCTCAATCATGCTAACTTCTGACGTGATTTTTATCACCATGGTGGTTTTTATCTCGTTTGGTTAAATAACTACCATTTTACTTCCTTGTAAATTGCTTCTCTTGGTAATTGTGACTGTAAATGTAGTGGCTAATGGCTTTGTCTCTTCTGCAAGTACATCATACTTTGCTCTTTTTTGCTAAAGAAACCTAATCTATGTGGTTTGGTTGCTTCTAGTGAGAATTATGAATCGCTTGTGTCTTAGCTGAATTAAGTTTCATGTATCTACATTGCTCTATTTTGCTTGTAGATAGTTTGCATAGGTGCTCATGGAAATAACTTTGCAAAAATATTGTAGTTTTGTGAAACTGAACATGTTATAAAAACATGAGCAATGTTTGTGTTCAGAGGTGAGAATGAAGCATGCTAGTGAAAAATCTACATAATCAAGAATCTATTACAATTGAATTGAGATGGTAATTATAATGAAAGGCAGCCAGTCTGAAAAGGGCACCCTATTTGTATATTCAATAGCACAGTATTAGTGTTACAGAAACATTAGTTTGTCTACAGAGTGTGAAAGATGTGTCTTCCCAATTCTTTTTTTTTTTTCCCTCATTTCTTTAGAAGTTCCCAAAGATCCAGATGTGTCTATTGTGTAATTTTCTCTGATTATTGCAAATTATACCAGCTGTCTTCACCTGTCTCCTAGCATTCCTGGAGCATTTGAAATGAGGAAGGGTGAAGGATGCATCAATTTCATGCACTGTGTAATTTAATGACATACAGGTTTGATTATTGATTTCTTTTTTCTATTTTGCTTCTTCGTCTGAAAATCACTGGGTTAAGATTTGAGGGTAATCTGGGTCAATATTCTGCTTATATCCATGTAGTTTTTAATACTATTTTTGAAGTTGTGCTTTGATCCAAATCACCACTTTAAATGTACTTAGCTTATTCCAAGTCTGAGATGAGTAGTCATCGTGCTGTTGCTTATTAAGACACATCTGGAAGCTTAGCTTAATTAACACTGCTTTGCCCAGTTGTAACTCTTCCCATGTATCAGTAGTAGATTTGGTTTGTTAATCTGTGTGCATAACCCCTAAAATATGGCATATAATACTTTGTGCCTAGACAGAAGTGTCTGACATCATTTGAGTAATTTTTACAGAATAGCATGAATGACACTTGCAGCGCTTTTTGGCTTTCTTTTTCCCCACTCCCCCCAGCGGACTAAACTCAGAACTACTTCATTTGCCCTGAGCGCAGTTTAGGGTCAGCAGGCAGTGAACCTAGCAGTACTTAATATCTATACATATATCTTCATGTGTGACTGTTAAGAGGGTCCCATCTTTGTTCTTTGCCTATGGTGTGGGAAATTACCTGTAGTGCCTGTTTAGTTTGAGAGGTGCTGCATTTCCTAGAGGAAAGGACCTCTTTTTCAAGGTGTTTTTTCAGTTGTTGGATTTACTTGTCAATGTTTGGAAGGCTTGAGGGGGTGGGGAGCAACCTTAGTACTTTCTATAGAATCATAGAATCATTTAGGTTGGAAAAGACCTTTAAGATCCAGTCCAACTGTAAGCCTAACACTACCAAGTCCCCACTAAACCATGTCCTTAAGCCTCACATCTACGCCTCTTTTCAATGCCTCCAGGGATGGTGACTCAGCCACATCCTGGGGCAGCCTATGCCAATGCTTGACAATTCTTTTGGTGAAGAAATTTTTCCTAACATGCAATCTAAACCTCCCCTGGTGCAACTTGAGGCCGTTTCCTCTTGTCTTATCACTTGTTACTTGGGAGAAGAAGCCAACACCCACCTCACTACAGCTTCCTGTCGGGTAGTTGTAGAGAGCGATAAGGTCTCCCCTCAGCCTCCATTTCTCCAGGTTAAACAACCCCAGTTCCCTCAGCCGCTCCTCAGAATACTTATGCTCTAGACCTTTCACCAGCTTCATTGCCCTTCTTTGTAGCACATGGTCATAGCAGAGTAGAAAGCCATTGTAAGTAATGTGAGGGAGCTACCCTCGGTTTGCAGAGAGGTCATTTTAGTTTGATTACTGAAATTGGATATTAAAGACAAACTGCCTGACAATGAGGAAAGGGAATAAAAGACTAGAACAAGAATCTTTTCATTGGGATTAATATAATTCAGAAATATTTATTATACAAACATGAATTGGTGTAAGGTTTGTATGTTATCAGTTAGATTTGTTACTTATTGAAAGTAAGTGGATGGACCATTACTTCAGCTTGATTCAAAAGGCTTAAGGTAAGGATTCAGAAGACAAACCGTATCTAATTAGAAGAGAGACTAGTATAATGAGCCTTGACACTGAGAAGTTATGAAGAGTCAAGCATGGCTACCATCTGGGGGTTGGTACTATAAAATGACTAACTGGAGAATAACCTCAAAACATCCAGGAAAAAGATTTAGAGCAAGTCATTGGGACAAGGATAACTCACACTTGTACACTACTGTGTAGAATTGTTTATTTAGTACTGTGCTTATTGACTAATTATGAGTAATCAAATTGAAATACTTTAGCTTTTCAAATGCAAGAATACTACGGAATAAAAGCACTCTAAATCCTTTTTGCAAGAGATTGACTCATCGGGAGGAATTGTCGGAGATTACAGACGATATTTGTTTTACTTAAGCAACAGTGCTACTGGCTAACTGTTTGAGAATGTGTTGATTAGTATATCTAATTCATTTTTTCTTTTTTGTTTTAGCTAGCTGGAGTGGCCTTCCTTGCAGCTGGTCTGTGGGCATGGAGTGAAAAGGTAAGGGCAGAAATGACTGATCTGTCTTTGTTTGGTGGCTACCCTCTCCTGCCCCCAGCTTCAGTAAAACTGCTTCCTCAGGAAGCAGCAAAGGTTAAAAGTAGCATCTGAGCTCAGGACCATGTTCAAATGATCTAAACTGAGTTTCATTCTTGTCCCTGGTCAGATGTTAAGCTGTCGCCCTTGATATTTAGACCTTTTTTGTGAACTTGTAAGAGGGAGAACTTAATCTTTATGAATAGTCTTTATGAACTAATTCTGTTTTGAAAGCATATTTTCTAAAATACACTTATCTACCCACCTCTTTTTATTAAAAACAAGAAGCATTTGGGAGGAATGTAAAAGATATCATCTCTCTTTATATTAAAAAACCCCACCACCAAACACATGTGTCTTTGGGACTGTCTTTCTGAAGTATTCTGGTCTTCAGGCCATCTGTTGTCTTCTACTTTAATCCTTCTGGAGTTGCTTAAGTGATTATGTCTCCATGTAGAGGTACAGAATTGGGAAACATCATCTAGCTGAAAAATACTTATTTTTGGCAAAGATTTCTTTCAGCTGAATAACTTCCTAAATCAGAGGAAGTCTGTGCGGGCATGTACCTACAGAGTTCTCCTCTTACAAGAGAAGAGATGGTGTAGGTATGGAAATAAACGGTTCACCCCCTAGTTATGAATGTAAAAGCATGACTTTAACATGATGGCAAGCAGTAGGAAAAAGTGACTATTACTAGCAGATTTGCATATCTGCGTCTGAATTAACAACGGAGGGCAGGTGCCCTCACTGTTCAGTTGTGCTGCTAAGTAGGAGCACTTCAATTACCGTTGCAATGTAACATTTCCTTAATCAGAGTGCTTATAGGCAGAAGCTGCATACAGAGAGGTTCTGGGATTGCTCTACTTTTGGGAAGTGAAAGAGTTTTATGATGATCTTAGTGCTGAGGTATTTATTCTTCTTCTCCCTGCGTGTGTGCACGCGTTCTCACAACTAGATTAGTGATATCATTGATGTATAGTAAGCAGCCTATCTCAATGCACAACTGCATTTACCTCCTATTCTGTTATTATAAAAGGATTTTCTTTCCAGCCCTTTAGGGAGGGTGTTAAACTTACCTTGAGTTTGTATTCTCTCATGTTCAGACATCATCTTCTGTTCGGTAAAGAAACACGTAGGATCTGTGTTGTTGGAAATGACTAGCTCACAACTACCTCCATTTTCCAAATGGACTTTATGGTACACTGAAGTTACTAAAAGCAGAGACAGACTTTTTCTGTCTTTATTTCTTAAATTTTACCTGAACTATTTTCTGCTCTGTGTCCTAGCTTCCACATAAGTGCTTCAAAGCTTTTCCTGTGGTTTTGAACTTCTGAATAGCTCCTTAAATCTGTACATTGTTTTTATATCTGTTCTTCTGTGCTATGTGGACAGTCTTTCATACTATTGCCATTCTTCAGCCATAATGCCTGTATGGATCTGTCTGTTTACAGATAAACATCTTGGTGAACAATAGATAGAAGTAAGATAAAAAAATTACAGAAGCTGTGCTGCAGTAGTAAACTCAAAGATAAACGACAGATGGTGAAAGTCTTGAACATCCTGTCTCAGTGCAACATGAAGTACACTGGATCCTCTTACCTTCTCTGATTTTTCTTGGTTTTTTTGTTTTTCCACTGGGATTGCACTTCAGATTGTTTCCTCCGCAGTCTCTTTTTCTGAATATAAATCCTTTGCATCATTTAGCATGATAATCTATTGAAATGAGAATGCTGGTTTGTGAGAAATGTTGAAAATACTGTATGTTAAAATGTTACCCATCCTGATTTGTGTTACCCATTTTGAGTCAAATCCAGTCTCTAACTGGTGTATCTGATTGGCCTGTCCTTAGGATCTTATAACTGAGTTTTGTTATTCTAAACGGTAATGTAAAAGTTAAATTGCCTAAAATGTTAGAACTCTACACAATAAAAACTGGATAGGTGCTAATATTCGTCACCTAAGAGATATTGCAAAAATCACCAAGAGGAAATAAATGATAATAAACTGTTAATAGAAGTAAGGTGAATAACACTGAGCCCTTTTGTCAGGAAAACAGTTTTTATTGGTAAAACCATTTCAAGAAAGACACGAAGGAAGATCTAGGAAACTAGAGGCTAGTCAGTCTACCTTAATTGCAGCAAGTTCGTGGCTAATAACAAATGGAGAGGGAGCAGACAGTCTGCTTCAAAACACTAAGCATGGAGAAATAGGTTAACAGGAATCTTATGAAAGTTTTTGGTTTGTTTTCTAAAAAAAAAAAAAAAAAGACAAATGCAAAATCGTGTGCCTGAGATGGAGTTAACCCCATGTGTCAGTGTGGTCTGGGAGTTGACTGCCCAGAAAGCAGTTTTGTGAGGAAAAAACCTTGAGCTCCTGTTCAATAAGTTGAATATCAGGTGTGCCCTCATGTCAAGGCCAACAGCATACTGGGCACCAATGTGGCCAGTGGTTGAGGGAGGAGCTTCTTCCAAAAATATTCATCATACTTGAGGCTGCATCTGGAGTACCATGTACAGTTTTGGGCTCCCCTGTGTCAGACAGGTCTCTTTCAGCTTTAACTTATTCTATGATTAAGTGTACTTAATCATCTAAGTACTTAAGTGTACTTAAAGATCTGCTGATCTTTCTTTCTGTTTGTATGTAAGGTACGTGCACGTAACTTGTGTTAGAATCAGTGGCAGTGTGATATTGACAGTAAACATCCAGTTTACAGAACTTCATTGTAAGAAATGAACTCTGTCCTTGTCAGATGTATTTTGCAGTTTCCAGACCAGTGTATCTCAAAACAGTAACTGGTTTGGCATTTGTTAATGGGCTATATTAGAGGTTTTTTTTTTAAAGACAGTCCATGTTTGTCCTCTGTTACCAACAGATTTCAGTTGAGATGGTCGCATAATACTTACAAACATTAAAAGAAAGTGGAAAACAAGTTAAGCATCTACAGTTGAACTCTTAATTTACTGTTCTAAGTGACTGAAAGTATGACTTAAAGGCTGAGTTTTATTCTTGGATTTTTTTGGCACTGACTTCAAGTATTGGACTTCACTTCTGTATGCCTGTAGGAAAACTAGGTGCTGCTGTAAAGGGCAGCCAGTGCTTCAAAGAGCTGTTGCCATCCTGCAGATCGCACAGGCAGAAGCATCCTTTTCGAGATGAGTAAGTGGAATGAGATAGTCCCCTAAATTAATTCTCTTGTTTACTTCCTTCCTTCAGGATTTTTCACTTAACATCTTTGTTAGGCTAAAAAAAGAACTGCACAACCTTGCTGTAAACATCAAATGTGAAGAAACTGTTGTGAACCAGCAACATCTGAGGGTGAATAATAGAGCCCAGTTCCTGCCAACTTTTCTTCATAACATACTTTCATCAGAGGAAATTTTCTTCTGAAAGACATTGCTTGAGCAAGTGAGATTGTCACAAAAAAAGCTTGAGTTTGGGTGTGGGAAGGAGATGGCTGGAAATAGTTGTGAAAATTTCGACATCCTGGTCACACAGGATTTAGTTTTGTGGTGTATTGGTTCTTCAAAGACACTGAATTTGCCTAGTTAATTTTGTCCTGTCTGTCTTGACTGTGTGCTCAGTGCCAAGGCTTAATTAGGTGGGATTCTCATAATTAACACAGTAGAACAAGTTTGATAGTTAGGCGTGAGGTCTTACAGCCTGTAAGGATGGAGATGTGTCACTGGTGACACTAACTAGAAAAGTCTTTGTTTCCCAAGACTTTCTGAATGCTGAGAAATCCATAAACTATGGCCACTCTTTAATAGGCTATTTCAGCTGTTAGTCATCAGCTATTACAAGGCAATACTGAATTCTGCCGTTCAATTACTGTTTTTTTTCCTCTCCTTTTCATCCCTTCAACTAGTTTTGGTAAAAACAACTCTATTGTCTTGCTGTTGCCAAATTAACAGCTCTCAAAAGATCTGTTATGGAACACATTAGGAAAGAAGATGAACTCCTGTGTATCACTGTACTACTGTTAATCAGTGTCTTTTCATCAACTGATGAAGTTTCTCCATGTGCGCGTTTTCCTCTAATGCTGTATTTTGAAGACTTTTTTTTAAGTAAGCATTTAAATACAAAGTGATATGGATTTTTCCAAGGTATTCTCTGAGGATGTATATTCTTTGCACTTAACTCTAGCACAAATACCTGGGTAGCAAGATGAGAATTTACATTCCGTTGGCAGAATTAGACTGCTTATATGAATTACTTTGAGTCTGTCTGATGTATTTCTCTTACACTAAACGTAGCTAGCTTGAGAATATACTTTATAAAGGAAAAAAAAAAGATAGTAAACATGTAATTATGGGATATTGTACTGTGTTGATTTTTGTTATTTATCTGTTTTAAAGGAGACGTATTTCCTTATTAAAATGTTCTGTGTATTGCTGATGAGTGTATGAGTAACAGTCAGACTATTGCAAGGCTGCTTGGATGTCCCTTGTCTTGCTAACTTTGTCTCAGCTGTTTGTCCCTTCTGCATGTTGCATCTTGTTCTTGCATGTTACATGAGAAGCTTGTGTTATATGTATTTGATGGAATTTTAATGATGGCTGGTATATAAACTTAATTTTTTTAAGACCTAACCTAGAAATAAGGGCTTCACTGTGTTAGCATTACCTTTACATAGACTTAGAAATTCTTTAAGACCTAGACAGACATGCTTAATAGGTAAGATTATTATCAAGATAAATGGTGTCTCTAGATAGCTAACAAAAAAGAAAATATTGCTGCCAGATTAGGCAAACTACAAGTATTTTATAGGAAATAGATAACTTCTTTTGATGTAAGAATTTTATCTGGGTTGAAAGGGAAATATTTAGATTTTAAATCTGTATTTTTGCAAGATTTTGGAGAAACATTCCTAAGACTATTCAGCACTAGAAGGGGGACAACTAAAATGTTGAGAGGAAAAAACTGCTTCCTTTGAAAATCAAAACGAGATTTTGTTTCTCTTCCCTTAAAACGTCACCCATAATCTGTTTTGGAGTTTGAATGTCTCTCCCTTTCTACCACCTAAACATTAGGATTAGAACAATTTTCATAATTTTTTGTATATTTTGAAATCGCAGTGCTGATTGATGCATTTCAATGTAATATAAAGCATTAATTCTTTTGCCTTGAAACTAAATGACTATTTAGTAATAGTATTGAGCTTTTGGCACCATCTTGTGGAATCTTGCTTGGCAAATAGACATAGGTGAATGTAATCTGAGAAGCTGACTGCACTGGATTTACTTGTTACATGAATTGATAGCTGTAACTTTGCATTAATACTTCTTCTACTAGGGTGAAGAAAATTGGTATTGTCAATGACCATTTTACAACAAGACTTTTCCCTGTGGGGGCTCAAGGGTTTGCAACCGATTCATTTGGAATCATGTAGAAATCATGGACATCCAGAAGGAATGTTAAATGAAAAACATAGTTATAGTGGTCACCTTTTTCTGTTATCCTGTTTTTCAGGGTGTATTGTCTGATCTGACAAAAGTGACTGGTCTTCATGGTTTGGACCCAGTGGTGCTTGTCTTAGTGGTGGGAACAGTGATGTTTACTTTGGGATTTGCTGGTTGTGTAGGAGCACTGAGAGAAAACATCTGCCTTCTGCAGTTTGTAAGTAAAGCTGGGAATGATGAATGAAGAACTAGTAGCAAACTCAGATAATTAACTTACACTTTGTAACAAACGAAATTCTACTTGGTAAACTCACTGCCCTGATGACCCACTGAGTAATGATATTAAATGCCATACAGATTCAAACCTATGCGTATTTTCCCCTTTCTGGAAAACATTCCTTCTCTATTCATTCATTCTGCTATACAATGATGATGTTATGTATACCAGAATCTAACATCGTGTATGTAGTATCACAATATATAATGTTCTGGAATGTACTTAGTTAGGAATTACTGAGAGGAGATGGTATAGTGGCTTAGGGAGAACAAAATCCCTTAAAAACTTAAAAATTTCTTCCAAATGTTTGGCAGGCAAAACTTGGACTTTAGTGGCTGATGCAAAATGACCGGAATGGTTATTTTTATACCAAGGCTGCTTCTTTGCTTTAGATCTGAAAACAGTTAGGATGGACAAAAAATTATAAAACTGGAAACGACCCAAGAAGTAACATCAAGACTACTTTAGCCCTGTGTTTTGCAGATTCTCATTTATTAATATATTCAGTGCTGTGCATAATGACTGTGGTATGGTACTCATTGTACTATCGAGTTCAAGTGACCAAAATAAAAAGAAAACTCTACTTCTTGGAAGCTTCTTTACATTGTATTCTCGTTCAGCAGGCTCCGTTCTCACGGTGTCTGCACTGAGTGAGAATTTTAACCTAATTCTCTGTGTCTGTTTCTAGTGGAGTTGGAGTAAGGATGCATTCAAAATAAATGGATCTTTTCTAATTTGGGACTTTTTTTTTTTACAGTTCTGTGGAGCAATTGTGTTTATATTCTTGCTGGAGGTGGCAGCGGCAGTTCTGGCTTTCCTGTTCCAGGACTGGGTGAGGGACAGGGTCAAGGAATTATTTGAGAATAACATTAAATCCTATCGAGATGATATTGACCTCCAGAACCTCATTGATTCACTGCAGAAAATGGTGAGTTCATATCCTGTCACTTTTCATGCGTTCTAGGAGAATATGTAGATGTGGAAGTTTTCCTTTTTGTTACAGGTTTATCGTCTTCTGTAGCTAATAGTGCCATGTTACAGGTGTGCTGTTTTATGCTTTCTACATTGAAAGCATCAGGGAGGCAAGATATGCTGAGATACAGTGTTGTTCTAACTGCAAACGTGGAAGCTCTACCAAGCATCTGTCTGCCTTGACTTGCTCCCGTGGTCTGATCAGTGTTTCACCAGTTTAAGTGAGAGTGAGCAACAAAAAACCTCTTTATCCTGAACGAATTGTGCAATGTAACTGGTAGTCTGCACTCTTATTGTAGGAGGCACTGCAGTCTTGTACAGGGATGCAGCACAAGGCCTTTTATCTTCTGAGATGCACCTCATCTTGAAGCAGCAGCAGATTTTTGTTAACTGGGACAGGCTTGTCTTTAGTCAGGCAGTTGTCAAGGAAGGTTGAAATAATGTTGCATTCCTGTGGTCCTAAAATCTTCAGTTACCAGAAATGAGTGTTGTACACCAGTAGATGACAAGACCTGTGCTAGTAAGGGCCTGGTGACTTTGATTCAATCAGCTGCTTTTGTAATCATGCACAGGAAACAATCAGTGAAGGTGACTTCTGATTTTTATTTATTTGTGTGTGTTTAGAAAAATATATATGGAGAGAAACAGAGTACATATGTGAGTACTTTGCAAAGAGGTAAAATAGTTCTTTCCTTCAGATGTGTTTTCCCCTTAAAGAAGGTTGTTTTTGTGTATCTTCCATCTTCCAGAAGATCATGTTTAGAAATCTGTGCTTACAGCTTAGTTTGATAGCAAAGCACTTTGTGGGTACAAGTTTGGTCAGCTGCATGTTACCAGCAACTTACCTATCCTGTTTGTTCACTCTTGTGTGCATTGATATGGAAGCATCCTCTGACTAAGCTGCCTTAGTCCATCCAGCTGCCACTGGATGGATTTCAGTGCTGTTTTGCTTTAGCTTTTGGTGCTAAGGGCACCTTTTTGTAAGGTAGGGCTTCTCCTGGCCATGACCCACACCGGTACTTGTCGCAGTTGTCCACTGTTGTTGCTCTTCGTTTATCTAGTTTCAGTGCCATCAGCTAGGCTAATATGCTAAGCTGATTTACAGTTGAACTCCAGTTAAGTACTTTTCAATGAAAATAAAAGGCTGAGCTTACTAAAAGGAGTTCACTAGCCAGATTAACAAGCTAATAAACCTGAAAAAAGAAGGAGCAGAAAAATCTCCAAATTGGCCTGTCGTTGATCCACAGCTGAAAGTTCTGAGGAAGGAGGGGAAGTATGCGATGCGGATTAGCAAGTGCAGTTCTGCAAGAGTTGAAAAGGTGCAGCAGCATGTTGAAATGCCTCACTGAAGCCCATCATGCTCCTTAGGCTGACCTGCTCTGTTCTCAATGTGTGCCTTGGGACCCAGAGAGGTTTTTGTAGGCAGCTCCTTGCTCTGGCTAATTATATTACTTTCAGGCCTGTAAGTGACCTCATAGTCTGTACCTTGCTAAAATAGATTAGCATGTTTAGTGATTGCATGGATTTTTAGAAAGATGTAGATGTGTGAGAAGGAGGGACTAGAAAGACAAAAATGAAGCTCTTGCTTTCTCCATAGTACATGTATTAGTGACTTAAAATCTTTTTTCTTCGTATTTTCTCTATTCTGACTATTCTGTTCAGCTCTTATAGTTTTCACAGGAAATACAACTATTTAAACAATTCTGCTGTCTGTTCACATCCGTGTCTGTCACAACTTGATAATTTCAAGTCTGTTTACTGAGATAGTGTCTCGCAGACAGTTCGCAAAACTTGTATTCACCTAAGACAGACAATGGGCGGAGGAGAGATACTAGAGATATCCCAAGAGGGTGTAACTTCATGAGGTATAGGAAAATCTCTGTGATGGTACCTGGAGTACTGTGTCCAGTTCTGGAGCCCCCAACATAAGAAGGACATGGACCAGTTGGAGAGGGTCCAGAGGAGGGCCACGAAGATGATAAGAGGACTGGAGCACCTTTCCTATGAGGACAGGCTGAAAGAGTTGGGGCTGTTCAGCCTGGAGAAGAGGAGGCTCCAGGTGGACCTTATAGCGGTCTTCCAGTACCTCAAAGGGGCCTACAAGAAAGATGGGGAGAGGCTGTTCAGGAGGGCCTGTTGTGATAGGACAAGGGGGAATGGTTTTAAAATAGAGGGAGGTAGATTCAGGTTGGATATTAGGAAAAAATTTTTTACCATGAGAGTTGTAGAACACTGGAACAGGTTGCCCAGAGAGGTGGTGGATGCTCCATCCCTGGAGACGTTCAAGGCCAGGTTGGACGAGGCCCTGAGCAACCGGATCTAGTTGGAGATATCCCTGTTCCTTGCAGGGGGGTTGGACTAGATGACCTTTGAAGGTCCCTTCCAGCCCTAACCATTCTATGATTCTATGATTCTGTAACATTTCAAGTCCTCAAATTGCACTTTTAAGTATCCAGGCCAGTAAACTGCGAAGGGTAACTTTGTAAGAAACTAACTTTTTTTTAGTTCAGGAATTGAACATTCCATGAAATGTTGGGGTTTCCCTAACCTTCAGTTACAGTAATTACATTACACTGCTTAGGTCAAGAAACTTATGTGAAATACATCTAAAGTTGACTGACCTTTGAGGTAGTGAGACTTTCCAGTTAATTCATTTGGATGAGAAAACCTTCTCATTTGAAAGAAAGGAAGTATATTCACAAATATTTGGGTCCACTTTTTGCAGTCAACAAGGAAAAGAAAACCTGTTACTTTATGAAGATTTAAGGATGGAGTCACAAATTTAAAGAAACTTTCTTCATAGTTTTTCTGCTTATGGTTGACTTGGAAATAATGGAGTACAAAGCATTTGTATAAATTATTTTGTTTCACCATTTATGGACGTACGCTGATTGCATCTAGCAACTACATCTAAAGGGATAATTTTTATGATTGCGCTTGTCACGCTGACACCTGTTTCCAGGAGCAGTATGGCAAATATATAGCTTTGATTTCACAGAACCGCAGTATTGATTACTCACTTTTTACTGTGACGTTGCCATTGATTCTGTACAGCCTTAGAGAAAGTGAAGACAATGAACAAATACCATTCCAGAGAGTTTGTTCAATTGTCTCTGAAATATTCTCAAGTCCTAAGTGTTTGTTTATCTGTTGCAGAACCATTGCTGTGGTGCCCAAAGTCCAGATGACTGGGACTTTAACATATACTTTAACTGCAGCAGTGAAAGCAAAAGTCGTGAGAAGTGCGGCGTTCCTTTTTCCTGTTGTATACCTGATCCTGCCGTAAGTTGTTTCCTGGCTTTGTATTGCTCTGGCGTTGTTGGAGAGTTATGAAAGGAAGTACTTCCTGAATTGTGGTGTGATGACTAGGGCTTTGAAAGGTCTTCTAAATGATTAAAAATTACTCCTGCGCAGACAAACTCTTATGTGTTTCTGTTCAGTCCTTTTTAGAGTGCAAATGCTGCTTGTTTTATCAGCAACTAGTAAAGTGTTCATGCATAAACTCAGTTTAAAGCATTTGAGTCAATTCTCTGTTTTTGGCAAGATTTAGGTGCTTATTTGTTAGATCTGTTTACTGAACTTTAGAAATTTGACCCTTTCAGTGGAAGCCAAAACATGGAGGTAGGAACTAACATAAAATGCTTTATAGTATTAGTGGGTATAGTTACAGCTCAAAGTCAGTCCAGCAAACCTCGTGTGGAGCAGATAGTACAACGGACCAATGGCTAAGGCTTTTGGAAAAGGTCTTGGAAATCAGCCAGGGAAAGACTTTGTCAGGGAAATATTTCATGTTCAGATTGCCCAGTAGTTATTTTTTACTTTGACTTGGAGCCATAGTATTCCACTGCAACTTTTTCTGTTGCTGATGGTGTATTTAAGGACACATAATTATGTTCAAATCTTTTTAATATGAGATTCTACTCCTAATATTTCAATATAACTCATTATGCATTGTGTAGATTATGCTATAATTGTGTAGTACATATGTTTTCATAAGTCTTACACAGAGAAAAAAAGTCATTAAAGGAACGTCTTTGTAACTTTGGAGATAAGTAATGTCAACTGGGTTGTCATCTGGAAGGTGTTTATGGTCTTCGTACTCAGGATCTGCAACTGGAGTGTTGTGTTTCAAGACTAGGTATATCTTGGACCTGGATTACATGTGAGATATTGAACTGTCAACTGGGAAGCTCAAGTAGCTTGCAGTTGTTACTTCTTTTAACTGGTTGTGATAGCAAGTTGTATGTCTCTTGAAATGATGGAATTGAGGCGTATTTTTTTCACTGCAGGTGTAAATAAATCAGCCTGGTACCTTTTGTTGTTGCCTCACTGTTTAGGTGTTAAGTGAAATAGCTAACATGAGACTGATCTTGGAAATGCAGATGTCTTATCTGTATGCTGGCAGTATAGTTGCTACGCTTCATGTTAAACGGTCCTTGCTGGTTGAATGCCAAGTGAGAGAAGAAGCTGGCATTTCTGGTGGAGGATGTTTTCCTCCTCGTATACGCCTCTGCTTTGTCATTATTGCTCTTGTGTTCTGCTAGTGCTTTGCTCATTTTTACTAAAAACGCTTCTGCAAATGGTTAGCTGTGACATCCTGATTTGTTTGTCTGTGAATCTAAAAGATGGGAAAAACTTCCTGTGAACAGAAGTGAGTAGAATTCAATTGATTTATTTTAAATCTCTCTTTTGCTTTGCAGCAAAAAGTTGTGAATACACAGTGTGGCTATGATGTCAGAAAGAAGGTAAGGTGCTGGGATCTTGCTGTCTGTCGTGTTCTGTGCTTTCATAGGCAAAACCATAAAAACACTGGAATTGCTGATAAATATCAGCTTAAAATTCTGAGAACTAATTGACTGTGCTATGTCATACTACAAGTAGATTGTGGTAGAGATTGTTCTTTGTTTAAAGTAAACTTGTACTGTGAGAGGGTGGAGAAGACAAGTGATGGAATGGGTAAAGGGAAAGATGTGTTTCAAAGTTTCAAAAAGGGGTTTGACTTGTATTTCAAATGTGTATTTCAATCACTAGTTCTAATAGTCTAATTCTGAATTCTATTATCTGCTAATTCTAAAGTATTTAATAACAGGATTTACAGGGAGATAACATCAGTGTCTGACATGGCCTGATTTAATCTGGGCATATATGTATTTCTGGAGTCTGGTTACACATTACTGCATAAGTGACAAATCATTAATTTAGCTAATCGTGTGATTGATCTTATAATAAACTTGGGCAGAAAAAGTAATATTCTTCCTCTCTACATTCAGAGCAAGAGTCAATGGGATGATCAGATTTTTGTCAAAGGATGTATTCCTGCTCTTGAAGCTTGGTTACCCCGAAACATCTACATTGTTGCAGGTGTCTTTATAGCCATCTCACTGCTCCAGGTTAGTTGTTTTTGTTATGCTATTTTGAAACAGATTTCAAGTTTGTAAATATAGATCAGCTGAAGGTAAAAGTAGTTATGGTAAAGTAAGTATTTTGACACTCTAGATTTTTTTTCAGGTATGAGAATAATATGGCAAAAAAAATTACAGGGATGGGGACTTCGAGTGAAAATACTTGATATTAACTAATTTAATTCTGTTGAAATTATGTTCTTCAATGAAGGTTGTTACAAAAATACAACACAATTATAATACGTATGATATGTGACTGATATTTTTGTTATATATTAATATAGCAATATGCCAATATATGATTATTATATAAAATAAAGTGATACAATAATATATTTCTTACATATCAGTGTGCTGTGAGGGAGGGGAGAGCTTCTGATCATCTAATCCAGTAGCTCTGAACTACAACCTTCTATCACAAATGTGAAGTGACTAAAATATGATTCTGAGTGCTAAGATTGGCACTCAGCTGGCTGTAAGTGATGTGTAGCACTGCTCAAAAAAAGTTGAGAACGGAAAAGCAGGGAAATTGGTGAACAGGTTGCAAATGTGATATTAGCAGAAGCAAATGAAGGAGTTACTGTGACTTCTCCCAGTACCTTGTCTGTGCTTGGTACATCAAAGAAAAAGAACCAAAATTCTCAGTAAAACTTGTCAGATTACTTCTTTCAAGGTGGATCCTGCTTTTGTTGTGGCAGTTGTTTACACTTACCTAAATTTCTTGCTATGATACTACATCACTTCAGTGGGAAATAAACTTGTAAATCTACTGCAGAAGATATTTTCCATTTAACTGAAAATAGCTGAGCATAGAGTGATGGCAAAATACCTTTTCTCAGCCATGGCAATACTGCCTCTGTTGCTCGATTTTTTTTTTTTATTATTATTTATTTATTTTTTTTATATATATATTTTATCACTATCTAATGAAAATGTTTCCCTGGTTTTGAGAGATGATGTCCTAAGAACACCACGTTTAGTTAGGAAGATGTTTAAGATATGAGGTCTAATCTTTTGGCAATGTGTTGACTGACAATAACTTGATGATGTTGTCCTCGTTCTTGTCCTGAGTTTCTTTGAAATCACTTTCACAGTCACTTGTATTTTCAAATTGAGTTCCTCTTGTGCATTAAACTATTTCATGGTGGGAATGAGAGTTAGACATGAGCTGGTCTACATCTGAAACAAAACCTTTTGGCTTTTCCAAAACTTCACCTCAGTCTCTTGTTGCTTTTCTGAGAATTTTTAAAGAAATGTGCTGAGTTATGAATTTATCTTCAATTTGTAAAGGAAGATTTCCCTAGAAACTTGAGTGAATGTTAAAATTTCAAATTTGAATGTCTCAGAATAATCTGGGACTTTTCTCATTAATTACTCTTTGTGACAAGAATTTCATTTTAGTATGGGTAATTATGTTCTGTATGTATTAAAAAAATTGATCAGAAAATTGACTGGATTATCCAAAGTTGTGGAATAAATAAAAATGCCTGATTTGTAATTTTAGCAATAGGTAAGTGTGAATGTTGTAAGACTCAAGTAAACTTGACTAAGTGGATTTCTTCTAGCTGTAGGGCATCTAGAAGCTTATTTTGAATGCTGCTGAAATGTTACATGAAAGCATCTTTCTCATGTTTTATTTCCTGGAAGATTCTGCTGCCTTTATTACTTTTTAGTAATACCTATACTTTGACAAATGATCCTGGCTATGAAATGATATCTGAACCTGCAGACACTTCATGAATGCTTATCTTTATTCACAAGAGTAGTTGCACTGACATTAGTACAGAGTAATAGGAATACAAAAGTACGTTCCCATTCTGCAATAATGACTGATGGTAATAGGCTCTAGTTTTTAGAAACATCGTGCAGACTGATGCATTGCAAGCGTTTCATCTCACAAATGGTTTGTTTTTTTGTCTTTTTAGATTTTTGGGATTTTCCTAGCCAGGACATTGATTTCTGATATTGAAGCTGTAAAGGCAGGTAATGCCTTCTGAGTATAAAAGCAGACACCTGTTGCAAAAAAGTGTATTTTACCGTTTTTGGTCGGACACTAAAGTGGAAGAAATGCACGGACCATGAAATACTCCTGTTATCAAAAGCCTTATGTGGATTTCAACCCGCTCATGCTATTTGTTAAAGCTGGTACACAAAAAAAAAATCTCCTAACACACCTGTCTACCTTTTTTCTAACGAGACAACTCAGTGCACCAGCATTGATCTCCGAGGAAGAAATGGAATTTCCCAAGACATTGGTGGAACAGATTTTAAAGATTGTAGCAAGGAGGCATGAAACTGCAGTAAACTCTTTCGTTGAAGGATTACCATGAAGTTTGTTCTGTTCTCACTCCCAACTGCCATCAATCTCAAAATGTAATCTTTTCGGAAGGCATGCTGATTTCTTCAGAATCTTGAAATCATTTTAATCTCTACAGTAGACTCATGCAGCCATTTTTAGGCAAGATACCCAGCAAACATAATCATCATGGTATTGGAAATTGAAGGAAAAAACCCAAACCAACAAACAGTTCAGAAGTAGGGATATTTGTTTGACTGGGAATAACAAGTGTCTCAGAAGCAGGAACTTGTGCTCAGCATCAAAGCTTGTGTAATCCATGCTGTTTTGAAAATACAAACGTTTTCTCAGGAGGGGAAAAATCTGAGTATCTGTAGCATTATGTTCGAAATCTCTACTTCAGGCAAAGGAGTGTGAATCCTGATGCTGTTTCCTGTCTGAAAAAAAATGTAAATATTCTTTATTTATAGAAGAAAAAAATCTCTTCAAAAATGCTTAGCTTTTTCTTCATCAGTAGTATCTTTTAAAAGTGCTGTCTGCAGAAATTTCAGAATGCAACTTGTTTCGGAAGGTAGCAAGCATGCTATGCTAGCTGTTGACGGTTTTTGCCTTTCCTCTATTTTCTTTCTCAACTGCTATATTGATCTTCACAAGTCCTAACTGCTAATATCATAACTGATGAAAAAATTTAAATTCAGTATTGATCCCTACTGAAATCTGTTTTTTAATGAGGAAATACGCATTTAGTGAAAGATCAGAGTTGCTGAATTTTTCCATCTTCTGTAAAGCTATTGAATCATCGATTCTGCTTGTGTTCTGATACATGGTTCAAATGCCAGTCACAACATGGTGAACCAGAATAGTTTCTCCACGGCAATTTTTTGCATCAAGCTGAAATACTCCTGCTGAAATTTTTAAAATTTTTATCAGAAGGAAACTAAACTCTTCTTCCTGTCCTCCCTTCTTGGGGGTTCAGTAGATGGATCTGTGGTTCAGTAGATGGATCTGTAGTTCAGTGAGTGTTCTGGTCTTCTCTAAAATACTTTGGCATAGTATTTTTAGCTTTAAGGTAGAAGTATGTAACTGAAAAAGTTCTTGGAAGTAGCTGTAGCTGTCAGTTTTACTGTGGGCCATGTAACTAACATTGTTTACTGCTTCCACTGATACCGATTTTTTTCAGGGAGAGCAGATTTATTTACAGTGCCTAACATAGTGTAAATTTTAGAAAAGTATATATTTTTATAATGATATTTTACTACATGTAGTCTGTCTGAAGGATTTAATACTTGTATTTCCAAAGTATATGGCTTTCTTAGGAAGACAAATTTTTAAATATCTCTTTGATGTCCTTTTTCTATTATGCATACATTAACAAACGTTTCACTGGCAAAAGCTGATCAACAGTAAGAATCTTTGACTGTATTGATTGTGCAGGCATCCTTCTAGCTTTTAATCTGTGAAGCACTTCACAGACAATGCTGTACTTCTCATGTGTACTTTAGTTCAGCTTTCATAGTTCTTTTTCTGGCCAGTGATTGAGACACAACAGGAAAAGGAAGCTTGTTTAAGGATGGCTGATTTCCTTAGAGAACAGCCTACTCTTAGTCATCTGAAAAATCTGAACGTAAAATCGGTAGAAGTGCACTGTGATATTTTTTTTCTATTTTTTTAGCTTTGATATACAGCGAGGAAACAATAGCAGTAGATCACTGAGGGGAGCACAAGAAACATTTCTTCTGTAGAACCTTGAATTTTAGATCTGTGTTACTTATTTGTTCAATCTAGTCCATAAGGAGCAGCCAAAAACTTGCTACTGTTACTGCTACTTCGAAAGTGGCAAAGCAGTCTCCCACAACCTTTGCTTTAAACTCTGGTGCTTGAAACTTTACACCACCTCATCAACCAACTTACTCTGTTAAGGTTACGTGTAGTAATTTGATGTATGTAAAATTGGAAGAGGATGCTTTGTATTTGTAACTTTTTATTCATAAAACATTGCATTGAAAATTGCATCTAGGGGGTACACTTCCCTTTGTCACTTTTTGACACAGAGAGCTGCTAATGCTGGTAAGTAATTTCAGCAGTTGGTGAAAATCATGGTGTCAGAGATATAAAAATATCTGGAGTTCATGCACTGAAATTAGCTGATGACAAGAGCCAATGTCATGGATGAATATTCCAGTGACTGCAAATCTTGCCAAGTTGCCTGAAGACAAATGAATACTTGATTTCTTTTTGAAGTACTTTTGTATACAAAACAAAATTTAAGTGTTGTCTCCACAGTTTGTTCTTATTGGCTTTAACCATGCTAACACCAGCTTTGTATCAACACTCCAGTTACTTGGAACTGAATTCAAGAGAGCAAGTTCAACCTATTTGAGGATCTTTAAATGCATGGAGTGATTTGTTTTCACTGTGGATAAACTTGTCTATGCTTATTCAGTATCACTTTTAAAACCCTGGAGCTCTAGACTGATTTACCCTTAGATGTCTTACCACCTCCCTTGGTGGTACACGACTAGTGTAATTTCAGACTTGGAATGGGAATACTTTCTACTTCATTATGTTTACCACCTTCTCTGTGGACTCCAGTGACTTCATGGCTTAAGATTTAGGTTATGGTTTAAAAGTCTTTTCAGCAAAAGCATTTGGATGTGAGCCTACCTCTAAAGTCTCAAAGGAGAAGCAATTCAGTGATCTCAGAGAGGTTTGATAAATTGTTGATGTTGAGATTTCAGTGGACGCATTTGGAACAACTCCACGAATGCTACAATGGAAACAAGGTTTTTAATGAAGATCTTAGATATGAGATCAGACTTGGATAACTAGACTGAGAAGTAGATTTTTCAGTGTGATCACTTTTATTTCTCAGAAGTGAGCACAATTCAGTTCTGTGAAGCAATGTATTTATTTGTCAGTATGTTTGACAGTGCAACTGCCCTTCTGTTTCTGTTAATATACCTGCATTTCGGCACAGTTTCCTTGTATGTGAAGAGGAGGATGAAAATAAGGACTGAAACAAGATCAGTGACCAAAGGAGCATCAGTCGCCTTCTGAAAACCTGAATATATCTTCCCAAGGGGTCTTTAGTTTGATGACTCTCATACAGTGCCATGTGGATAGACTTGTACTTCCAGTCCATTGAGGTTGATGTAGCAGTTGGCTTATGTGTAGGATTGCCTTGGTTTTTGTCTCCCCATTCCATCCTTTTCTCTTCCTTCCCCCTACTGCCTGTGGGTTGTCATGCAGGTTGAACGTTTAGCCAGTGGAAGGAGAGGTTCTGTCTCTTCTTCTGAGGTGGCTTTTCTGAGTGACTTTTTTTTTTTTTCTAAAGCCTTAAATTTGATTAAATAAAATTTAATGTTTTGTACTCTTGGAGTTTGATTTCTAAGATTTGTTGCTTCCAGTCGTTAGTATTTCTCTAAGGTTTAGACTAACTACTGAACTGCAATTCGTGGATAACGACAGAAATGGTAAAGGTCTTCTGGTGTTCATGTATATATTTTGGTGAAACTAAGTTAAAACTGCTGTTTGCACTTCACCATTATTCACAGTTACTGTTCCAGTGATTAGCACAGTCTGTGGCTTGTCATGTATGAGCAATGTTCCTGAAGCTAGGGAAGTAACTTCTAGGTTTGAAGATGAGACTTGCAGAAATAGGTTTGTGTCTGTTGCTTTGACCACTTTAGTGTTTCTTTAATGCATTAAAACCTGATTTTAGTTTCAATAAGATCAGAGAAACATTTAACCGATAGATAATGACTATATTAGAATAATGCAATATCTGGAATTACATACTCTAGAATGTTAAGACTGGATCATTTCTGACTAAGAATGACTTAGCTTGAATGCGGCTGTTTTTATATATATATGTAGAACTTGTAATAGATCCTGGTATATCTCATACTAGTGCCTGGTTTAGGCACAACCCCAGATCTTACTCTGAAGTTGCGATTGTCTGAAGCTCTTTCTCATTTGACATTGGAAATGTGTAGGCTGCTCATATCACTGTGTATCTTAAGCTAGATGAATCTGCACGTGGTTCAGTTCTTGTGTTGTTTTTTTTTTTTTCTCCTACTATGTGGTCAAAACCTCCTTGTGTATTGCTCACCACGTGACTTGTCTGGAGTGGTTTTATGAAATTCCTTTCTCAAGAGTACTTGTGAAAGTGATATTTGGTGGCCAACGTAGCAGACTAAATAGTGTTAACGGGTTTTGTGAGTGGGAAAGCTTTTGCAGGAATGTCATGGTTTTAGGCCGATCCAGCAACT